GGGCCGCGGCGCGCGCGACCCGGGGTCGGGGTCGAGGTCGACTGAGTCGGCGATGCGGTGCAGCAGGTTCACGGCCACGTTGCTGCCGGGGGTGGAGGGGCCGGTCCACGCGAGGACTCGCTCCGCCGAGGCGTATATCTCGGCCACGAGGGGGACGTGCCGCGCGCGCTCTTCCAGGTCCTGCTGGTTGATGCACACGGCGTCGACCCAGAGGACGATGTGGCTGGGGACCGGGAGGGCGTTGTGGCTGTGGGCGTAGGGGAGGTGGCCGAGGGCCTCTGCCAGGTTGGCCGTGACCGAGAGGCGCTTGGCCGGCGCGTCGGTCGTCGACTGGGCGACGGCGACGTCGAGCCTGTCGCTTGCGTCTCCCCAGACGTACGACAGGGCCATAAAGGGCCGGGCCTCCAGCGGCGCGTGCTGGATGGTGATGCGGATGTCCTCTGGGCGGGGGGACGCGCGCGGGTGAAGCACCGCCAGCCGGATGTGCTTGCCGTCTGGCGGCAGCGGCTCATACTGGTATCTGTCCATGGCGGGCGAGGCGAGTTGGGGTGCGCGAGGACAAGTTTGGCGATGGCACGGGGGCTCTTCACTGCATGGCTGGAGCTGAACCCTGGTGTTGGGGATCGTGGCCTCGTGTGCACTGTCTCTTTGCGGCTGGAGATTGCAGACGGGGTGCTCTATTTGGGCGTGCCGGGCATTCTGCTCGAGCCTGCCATCTCAGCCCTTGCCGTGACTGCTCCGTTGTAGAGGTTTGTGGTGTTGTGTCTTTAATGTCCAATTGGGCCAAGCCGGAGCGGCGTCGAGTCTGACATTTAAAACATCCCTGCTACTCTGATACGACGGGCAAACCAACAAACAGCACCTTGTGCGCTGGCAGGTTTAAAAAACCAAAAAAATATAAAAATATAAAAAAAGACAGAAAAAAAAAAACAGACCGCGCACAATGCCCAAACAACTCGGCGTTGCTGCAAACTCGAGCCATTGCATTACTGCACCGTGCTCTCGACTCCCATCGCCACCATCTCGTGCGCGCCGCGTGCCAAACAGGCCAATGCCCACATTTCCCTGCCTTACTCCGTAAATACTCCGCGCAAATATGTAGTACACACATGCGGCGGGTGGGTTCGACGGAAATGTCCGTCAATACAATCATCTGCACCTTAAGAAAAACGCTCAAAGAGGGCCCGTTTTCAACCCCCGCCGAACCCGCCCCAATGCCGGCAGCACATGCCATTTTTCTCCATGTCGAACCCACATCTCTGTCTGCTAAGTAGTTATTCGATTGAATATTCTTCAAGTCCCATCTCGCACCCCCTCAGGAATACTCCCTTGTCCATCTACGGAGCGCACACAGATATACATGCATGCATTTGCATGCACACACGCACTTGGCTAGGTACATATGTACATACAAAAACAATCTGTATGTGCCAGCACACCCGACCTGCAAAAATTTTTTCTCGTCACCCGTGGACCCCTACAGCACCCCTCTTTACAATCACAAGGCAGATGCTATCGCTGAATTGACCCTTGCCTCCGACTCCGGCGCGACACCCGTGCACATGCATGGAAAGCATGTCTTTTAGGCTTGTCCAGCCCAGTCGCTGACGTGCACACGGCGCAGCTACACCGTCACGTCAATTCTAAAATGTCTGTTGTTTCAAGCACAATTTTTTTTCTTCTATACAGACGCCAACGTATGCACAGCATCGAGTGAAAAAAAAAAAAAAAAAAACGCTCGATTCGGGCAAATTTACCGTAAAAAGAGTCATCCAGGTCCTGGACCCAAAATTAAAAAACGGCCCCAAGTCGGACCGACCCCATTGAGCAGGCAGCAAGAGTCAGTTCCATCAATGCCCTTCCCCAGGTGTCCCGCGCACCACATACACACAGTATACATACATACATGCAATTTGACCCAAGCACAGCCTCCCCTCCTCTGCCATCTTTGCAATTTGTCTTTCGGCTCTGCAAGCCCCGGCCATGAATCACCTGCGAAGCAGCCAAGCGACGGCAAAGCCCTATCCTACCTGCCGTCGGGCTACGCCGAAAACTGGCAAAGAACCCCCTCTTGTATCCAGTACCTATCCTAGCACTGTACATACTACCTAGTGCTTAGTACCCAGACAGACTTGACTTGACGTCTGGTCCCTCTCCCAATCGGTGCAGGTTTCTTCTCCGGCCCGGCCCAAACTCAAAAGCCCATTCATTGGCCCTGGACCGGTTCCCATGCTGCCGGCGAGCGCAGAAAGCATGAATTTTGTAATCAACACAGGACTCATCTTCCCCGTCGCAGCAGCAGACAAGGGGAGGAAGGGAAAGCTACTTCTTTGCCCGTGAGTCGTGACACTCGCCCTCTGGTCCCCTCTACTTTGTACTTCGCGCACTTTCACTTCTTCTCCTCTAATCCAGACACTAAACACTTTGCCTTCTCCACACTGAGAGCTTTTCAAGCCGTGCTTCACTCCGACGTCCATGCCTGCCTGCACAACTACCGACCTTGGCTTAGCGCGAGGGACCACTCACTGGCCATCACTTGAGTCACTTCACCGCTACCTCCGCCTTATGTCCATCGAGTGAGGCCATGCCGATATCTAAACACCTTCAAATCACCACCAATGAATGCAAGCTCCATTAGTCGTCACGCCTTTATCGCCTCTTCCCTACATTCCACCACACATTCACACTAACAACAAGCTCACTGCAACAAATAGAAGACGTAATCTTGGTTTCATAGCTTATTCAATTCATGCTTTTATGGCTCTTCTAACCTGGCCGCCTCACGCCACTCCGAGCTGCTTATTCTAATTGTCCTTGAACAGCCAATGCTCGCCTCGTTGGGCAGTGTAGCCGACCCTCTCTCCCTATTGCTTTCGCATCGTGCGATGCCGCCTTTTCTCTTTGTCTAGCTCATCTGCTGCCTTTTCTCTTCCCGCCTTTTTTTTTTTTTTGCCTCCTCCTGGCCATCACCAAGCCAGAGCTGTCAAAACCCCCGCTTAGTATTCAAGGTTGCCCTTGCAGAATGTCCCCATCTCAATAGTCTCACCCCCCTCATTTCCGTGATAGAGTTACAAAGCCTTCAGCCAGTAGAATAAACATGAATGCATGTGTTCCCGATGGAGCCAAGCCCAGACCATGGTATCATTTGGGTTCAAAAGGAAAAAAAAAATCAAAGATATGCAAACGCCTCGTAAAGTGCAACTTGTCTCTTGTTGTCAAAAGACAAAGAATATTAAGGCTTTAGCACAATACACACGGATCACGCATCAATGCATGTATCTCCATGAGTACGCTACATTGCTGTGCTGTCGTTGGTAATGCATGTAACGCTAATAAAACCAGTCGTGCAATGTCGCCGGGTCAAACCCAAGTATCGTCATAAAAAGTCGAAGATGTGGTATGTAATTAGGAAGATCAGTGTCGTTGAGAAAAAGGGAAAAAATCTTTACACGCCGTTCAGATATACACGGCAAGGATAGAAGAAGCCTTGCCAGGCAAGCTCCTGATACCAGCCAAATTGGTACATGCTCATCAAGCAAGGACGAAAAGGACGACTGTGATATTTTACCAGCCCTTTGAATGGTATCCGTTGAGAGCTTCCTTAGAGAAGTATTGGTTCCAGCTGTGGGCTTCGGCATCTTCGCTGGCCTTCATACATGCTTTCTGGGGATACTGTTTCAGGTTGGCAACGTCCTGTGATGTGTGACGGCGCTTGAGCAATGCCTTGCTGCCCAATTTCTTCTGCTGTCGCTCCCAAACAAGGTTGAGTCGGAGTGACTCGGTAAGTTCGGTAGCCAGCATGTTGCGGCGGGTGGTCCGGGGAGAAAAGGCCGCAGGGAAGTTGACATGAGTAGCATGGGTCGTGATGGGCTGGGCGCTGGACCGGGGAATTTCGCTAATAGGCTTGAGTGCAGAGTGTCGCATACCCTTCATCATCAGTGGCGCTTCATCCGAGTCATTGGGAGACACGCCCAGACTCGGTCCATTGGGCGTCGCTCGGGTTCGGTGGATAGCGGGAGTGGACTGCGAAGATTGATTGCCGAGTGTCCTGGCGCGCTCGTTCTGAGCAAGCATGAGCGTGATTAGCGATGGGCGGGAGGCGGGCTTGGCCTTGAACTCGACGCGCTGGAAGAGCTGGACGTCAACACTAGATTTGCCGCTGTCTTCCGTGGAGTCTTCCCAGTCAGAAGAGTCGTCGTCGTCAATGGCACTCTCGTCAACATATTCGGCCTCGGTATCAGAGTCAACGGCGGACTCGCTGTGTTGCAGGGCCTGGGCCGTCAGGTTGCTGATGCGAGTGTTGGGAAGGGCAGAGTGGCCAGAGCTCCTGAGGGAATCTTCTCCCGATGACCCGCCAATTTGGAACATGGGCTTCTTGCCGACGGCAGCGGAAGTGGCCTTGATGTTCTCGATACTCTGGCTGTGCTCGCTTGATGAGCAAGATCCACCAAGGGCGAAGCGAGCAGGCTGCTTCTTAGGCTGCACAGGCTTGGGTGCTGGTGAAGAGCTGGGTTCGGGTAAGACGTCTTGCGAGGAAGCAGCAGCAGCAGGTTCTGGGAAAGCGAGGGCTTGGACTCTGAGGCCCTCGGGAGGTGGGAACGGGGAAGGATGTGAGACTTCAGAAATTTGCTCCGACGATTGTGACTCGGTCGTGGTAGATCCGGATCGGGTGAGAGCGGGAGGAGCAGGAGGAACCAGAAGCTTCTGCTTCGTGGACGCCATCAAGGGTGATGTTTGTGAAGGGGCGGACAGGGGAGCCTTGTCCTTAACAATAGACACAATCATCTTCTCAAAGTCGTCAGAGCTGATGCGTCGATCCCGTCTGGTGGTGGAGGAATCTAGTCTTCGTATCCTAGGTCGGATCTCAAGAGGTGCCGAGACCGAGGTGAAATCAACCGTCTCGTCGTCGGCCAAGGACTCGACGCTGCCAGAGAGCTGAGGAACCTCTTGTAACCTCGTCTCGGACGGGACGTTCTTGGGAGGGGTGGTGGTAGTTGTAAAGGCGGCGGAGGCGGTGTTCTTATTCGCGTTCTCGACGAGCTGTTCTCTTTGCCAGAGGCGCCAGCTCAAGTTTTCTAATCTCCTACCCTGTTCTACAGAATCTGCGCAACGGGAAAAGACTGTTGCACCGGTTGGTCAGCATCGTGGTGGGTGCAGTTTGGTTGTGGCGAAAGAGGACCTACCTGTCCACATGCTATAGAGATTGGCGGGATTGGCAGTGTCCACCTTGTGGATAACGTTGGCGTCTACTGTTAAGACGTGCGTGTCTAACCGGTAAGGCATATCTGCCATTTGTGATGCTCGATCGTGGGCGAGTAGAGATGGATCCAAGAGTGCTTGTTTAGGAGGGTGGTCTGTTAAAAGGTCCAAGGAAGCATGCCTCGTCGCTTTGAGGAGGGGCGACTACCTGGCAGCCTTATATGGCGTGTAGGTTATTCGCCGTGAAGGAGGCTGGTGGCAGTGAAGAATCGAGGTAAATGCGTGTCGCGTTGTTCAGTAGTGATTCTGGCGCCAATTCGCGGGACTGCGGATGTGTGAAGAAGTTGGTCTTCAACAAAAAGCCAAGGCGTGTGTACGACGCTTTGTGGGTGTTGTGTGCGTTGCGGGATGGTGGGAGCGGTGGGAGCTGGCAGACCAAGGGCTCACAATGGGCGAAGAGGATTGCAGGCTGCAAGTGAGACGGTGCTTGTCTGGAGGATAGATGTTGTTTATTCGGCAGCGGTTAGGCAGAGCATACAATGCGGAGGTGAAGATGGGGACGAAAGAACGACAGCGCGAAGGGTGTCTGGGGAAGAGGATATACATGTAGTCACGAACGTGGGATAGGAGCAAGGTGGGACGGGGAGGGAAAGAGCAGCCCAAGGGCAGGCACTTTGAGCATTGAGTCGTGGTGTGGGTGTAACTTGCACTCAGGACCCAACAAGAGCAAGCAAGGGTCGGAACCATGTGGTACGTACCGGGTGCAAGGGTGGGGGTGAGCGCGCGGAGAGGGCGTGCACACAGGAGCGAAGGGGGGTGCAGGTGCAGTGTACGGAACGGAGGCGCCGCTGGGAACAGCGCACGCACAGAGAAGGGCGAGACGGAGACGAAGCAGCCAGCGCGCTGGGGGCCCAAAAGCACCCTCTTGTGATCAGTAACCATGGGCTCGCCAGAATTCCAGGCCCCCCAAAAGTCCCAGGTGTCCCGAGAGCAGCCAGGGGGGTGTGGAGGGTGGCCAAGGAGGGGGAACTCGCCCTGGGCCACTTTGCCCTCTCTCTCTTGCCTCTGTCCCTCTCCGGTCAGCGTGACCCGGGCTTTGCAGGCTAAACTTGAATGGGTATCACTTTGCCATTGCCCTATTGAATGCATCGAAGATACTGCCTATAGTGGCTTAGTTTGCATGCCTCACAACTAAACCTCTTTTGGTCACTCTCCGTTTTGGCATTTAGCTGGCTTGGGTCGAGCACTCTCGCCCAGGCAAGGGCCGTGGCTGCGCACCGTCTTTCATCATGTGATGGCAGGTGCTCCGTTTCGGTTGTCAGTCACCGAGGCCCTTTGGGTCGATTTTGCTCGCAATGCCAGACGGGCTGTCTCTTACCGGTATGGTATGCCAACTGCGTGTCCGTCTAGGTGGTCCAGATGTCAAAGACTGAAAGACTGAACCAGACCTGACCAAGCCTCACTCAACTCACCGGGCAGCCCCCCCGTGATCTCGGAACACAGCTGGCCGTCACGCGCAAGCAGGTTGAAACGGAGCCAGCGCATGCCCAAGGATTGGGCTGGGCCGTGGAAACTACCTAGTGTTATTATTGTAATTGTTGCGATGCACCTGCTGCAATTTGCTGCCTTTGGATGGTTGATCCAGGAAGACATTGATTAGGAGGCAGACCGCGTCTGCGGATAGTCGCTCCCGACGGTAGATGTCTTCGCTCAGACCGCGCATTCACGCCAAAGCACCAGGCCGGCTGTTCGATGGCCTTTTTTGGTCTTGTTATTGTTGTTTTTGGCTCATGGCAGGTCCATGAATAGCCACAGTCCAGTGTTTGAATGAGGCAGCAGTGTTTCATGCTCGGCCCCGAATCCAACAAATGCCTTTCATCGCACCCCGTCAGGTGCTCAGGTGCTCCTTTTGCCGGGCCAATTGGCCACAAACGGCCCTGTTTGCCTCGATGTCGTCCGTCAGGGCGCTTTCAGAACGAATGGATTGCAATGTGAGCCCCCGGACTTGCTGAGTCGGCGCGCAAACGCAGGCCCGGCCATTCATTGGGGGCCGGCGCAAGGGTCAACGTTCATTCAATGTTCAGATGGGCTTCAGATCCACGGTGCCATGATGCCATGCCCCGATGCCATGCCCTGATGCCAACGCATGGCTCCAGCCCCCCCGTCCAGCTGACCTTGTGACGCGCTCAATCGCCTGGAATTGGATAGTAATGGATTATGCCAATGGGGCTCCTCCCCAGGGTTCAAGGCTCAAAACGCTCCCCCAGATTTCGCCGTAGTCGCGAAACGGCAGCCTTGTCATCATCGGACAATCAGTATCTGCTGCGCCTGACCGCAAATCCTGGCCATTGACACGCCAGCAATCGTGGCAGATGCCGGGACGTCAACTCGATGCAAACGTGAACCAGCCCAAGTACAATCCGGCTATGTATGGGGAGTAGCGGTGACCAGAGTGCGATTACAAGTCATTCAGTGAATACCACCTCGGGAGCAACGCCCCTTGGGCCCAATGCCGTTCGTTGGTCTGTTCCTTGGACTCGTGCGTGTCGTGAGCGTTGGATCAAGATTCAAGACCATGGGGTTGCATCGGGCAAAGGGCATTCACGTCAGCGTTGGACCTCGACGCCATGCGCATCATGTCCAGACTGTCGGTGCCAACGCATCAAAAAGAAGAATACAACAAGGACATGACGGCACCAGACCCTTTCGGTGTCGATGGTCACCTGCGCTTTCATCTGTTTCGGGCCACGGGCGATGCCGAGGCGAATTGCCTGATGCTGATTGTTGCCAGTCTGGTACATGGTTGAAATGCCGTCACGGCCGGTCCTGACTCCTGAGTCCTGACTTCTCCATGCAAGACGGTGGTGGATCCAAGTCCATTCATGGCTCTCACTCTCGCTTCAAGATGCACGAAATAGCCGTCACCAGGTCTCGCACCCGTGTGCAGGAATCAAATTGCCAACATATCACAGCCACGCCAGACACGAAGCACCTGAATAGTATTGCTTTTGGCGGGTCAAGGCAACATGGGCTCCGTCGATATGATCCTCCTCCTCGCATTGTTGGCTCCATCAGATTTCTTCTTCTTCTTTCCGTGGTCAATAACTCCATACCGACGTCCCTTCAACTCAATGACTTGTCAGTTTGCGGATACCACACTTGTATTGTAGTGCTTTTCGTTGATTATCCGCCCTATCCCCTCCCCAACGAGGACATCTCCAACCACGCGCCAGTTACCCAGAGTAAAAGAATATCGACTATAGTTGCCATGCAACATGACGGTTGTTTCTGATTCGCCGCCACCCGAGGTTATATTCGGTATGCGTCTATTTCGACGCGTATATACACTTGACATGATACGGGATCTGTGGCCATAAAAGGTGTCGGTGCAACGATGCAGCGCCTCATCAGACATGCCTCGGAAAGCCAATCTCTGCTGGCCACTCCTATCTCCCCCCGCAGTTACGGAGTAGATTTGTTAGATAGTCCCGGTGGGATTGCCAACTCCATGCCTGCATCGCTTGCAAACCGATTGATACATCTTTCCCCGTGCAATAATACTCTGTATATACTAGCCCATTGAGTATGATATAAGAATAGACTCAGCTCTCGGGTCTCAGGCACACACCCGAGTTTCTTCTGTCGGGGGCCGTGCATCTGAGCTGTCAGGTTTCAAACCGTGTACTCCGTAGTGTTTCTGTTGAAAAACAAACGCTGTCGAGTCCTCCCTGCCAGTCAACTGGATGGCGCCATGATGGCTGATTTGCCTCGCAGTGACGGCCAGTCACCCCGCGAGAAGGAAGGGCGGGTGGCGCCGGTCATGCTGCAAAACCATTGGCTGTCGGACTCCAATCCTGGTTCCCCGAACCTTAGCTCGATCCCGTTGTCCTGGGACTTGGGTGGCTCGGCATCAGTACGTACGTATGTACATACATACATAGGTCGATATTGTGCACAAATTCCTCTGAAATAGTAAGCCAATGTGATTTAACGCTTGGGCGGAGGAGCATAGCTGTGGAAGAATAATAAAAATCAATCAATCAATAAAAACCTTGAACCGTACCTTTGTAGACTGATTGACCAGCAATCCTACCCTATTACTCGCTTCATGGCCAACCACTAGCATAACAGGAAACTCAGCCCGCTCAGAGTTGGCCAATCACGGCTGCGAAAATAGCTTTGCGAGGTCATCTGGACAGAGCACAAGGCCATGCCCCCGCGAATAGGAAACGAAGCCCCCGGCATGCCTGCAGCTACAGACTAAGCTGATAGAAGTCCTTTTGAGCGGGTTGAGCTGGCTTAATCAATCTCGCTGCATGGCCATCAACCATTGACAGCCCTATCTTCATTCCGCACAGCAACCATTGGCAATGTTTGTCACACCATGGTCGTCGACGACATATCAATGCGACAGGATGATGAGGCGGTCACCTATCACTAGTGATAATAGCTAGCCCTCTAATGCTCTATTAGCTTGAGTTTTCAATTCCACAAAGGTGCGACCATGGCTGCAGCCAGAGAACTTGCAGCCTGGTTCTCCGGACCGACTAAGAGATCAAGGGATGGCAAAGTCTGCCCAATCCTTGGGCTGCAGCCGCTGCAGCCATCCGTCCACGATGCTGGAACCGTTTCGCTGAAAGGGGGGGGAGCCATTGTTATTTGTGATAGATCATGACAGATGGACTGCCGGCCAAAGCCTGTGGCCCAAGCCCGCGGGTCTCCAACTGTGGAATGTCTCTGCAAGGTGGAAATCCAGGTACGACATCCTCCTGTCTCACTACTAGTAGTTCGCTATGAAAAAGCTGGAGCAGGGTGTGCTGGTAGGGGAAGTCTTGCTTTTTTTGTTTCCTCGAGAAAACGCATCCTTCCCTAAAAAAGCCCGATTGAATGAGATCCTGCGATCCTGCAACCTCTACCTCAGAACGCAAGGGGCAACGTAAATTGTACGACCATCAGACGACTTCTTCCGGGAAATGGTCATTACGTAGCTGGCAGCGTTCCGGCAGAATGGTTCTCTATCTTCCAGGGTATATCTTCCAAGGTAGAGACATCACGTAGAGGATATATACTTGTGTTTCGCAGTTTTTCTCCGA